AAACACTGTACATTGCTGTCAAACTCTCCATATAGCCCATAGTGACAGTTCAACTAGTCTGTCATAGCGGCTCAGCCTAACATTAAGAAAGGCACTGAAGGGCAGGAGGCTGCAAAGTGCCTGTTAGTTCACTCTATCTCCACACCCAGATCTACCAGAAGTCAGGCAGAATCCAGCCGGACCAGGGGTGCGGGGCTGGGTTGCCAGAGTACTCTTTGCTCAGTCTCCCCAGCTCCTGCTGACCCGAACTCCTGTCCCTGCAAGAGTTTAGAGGATGGGGAGGGGCTATTGACAACTCACCTGTTGAATCACAAGGCACCCGGCCCTCAGATACTGGCTTTCTACCTGTACCTCGCAGGAAGGTACAAGATCTGACCCTGATGAGCGAGTGGGGGGGGGAGCATTTCCTGAACCAGCCTAACAAATAGGTTCCTAACAGGGCTGGGCACGAAGCCGCCTCTGCCCAGGCAGCCTCCCGCCTCACAGACCTGATCGCCCCAGGAGCGTCCCCCCACGGACCCGCTGTTCTCAGGCCCAACCCCGCCATTTCCCCCCCGCCTGAGCAGCAGAAACGGAGACCTCCCCCGCCAAGGGCGCGGCCGCTCCCGAGTCCGGCCTCCCGCCCGCCCGGCCCGCTCACTCACAGCGGCGGCGCTGTCCGATGCGGGCGGCTCGCCCTCCCCGCGGGGCTGCCCCGGGTCCGCCGCTTTGAGTCTCTGGCGGCGGCAGCGAGCGGGGCCGGGGCCCGCGCGCGGCTCTTCTCCCCCGTGACGAAGGCGACGGCGGCGCCCCCGGTCTGTGAGGTAATTCAGTGGGTCCCCCATTGACCAGTGACCACCCGCCCGCTGCACAACAAGACGGCCGGGCCCCGGGCAAGACAGACACGCCGCAAGGGCTGCTGGGACCGGAAACGACTTGTTCGGAACTCCACGACTTACCGCGACGCCCCCTACGCAGCCTCCAAGCGGGCGGAACGCCGGCCACGTGACCGCTCCTGGACGCCATCTTGACTCCGGGCGGCCTCGCCCGGAGATACTTCACTACTCGCTTTGCGCAGGGTAGGCGCTTCCAGGCCCAACCAAAGAGGGTGGCTCGGAGCGCGTGCCCGTCTAGCTTTGTGTCCATGGTGATCTCCCCTAGCCATGCCCCACGCACGCGCCGCCGCGCCCAGCCCGCACCATGGCGCCGCTGAGCCGCCGCGCCCGGGACTGGCTTTACTCGCTGGTAGGTGTCCGCGCCGCCCCCCGGCCCGGTCTGTTAGGGGAGTGCAGCAAAGCCTCCGCTCTGGGGTCCCTAGCCGCTGGCTGGGGAAACGAGCCGCAGGCCTGCGTGGGCAGCAGGTACCGCACGGATGGTTCTTTCCTTCCACCTGCCCTTGGGGACCCGCCTCCTACGGGACAACCCAGGGGCGCAGTTACCCTCCACACCGTACATTTCCCCTATTTCCATCAGGCCTTCGGTTCCAGGGCCTAGGGAGCCAGAGATCCTGCCCTCCTTTGAAGCACTGAATGCCCTAGCTCAGAGCCAGAAAATACCATGCTAACGCGGGCAGGTACTATACCAATGCTGTCCCCACTATTACCCTATATAATCAGTATTTCATTAGTCTCTGGGTTGGACGCCTAAACTTTTAGGCAAGGGCTGGTAAATGATGACCATTTGCAAATAGTTTAAATAGGAGACCAATATTCAATAGAGGTATATTATATTGGTAATATACCTCTTGCGGATACAGACTAACATGGCTCCTACTCTGAACTGTATATTGGTAATGCAAAATACCTACCTTTCCAAACATTATATATTTTCTTCTAACAGATTCTTCTCACCATTGTATTACTTTCATGGGGATACGTTATTTATGCAACAAGAATAGCAGCTCGGTGGCAACTTGAGAAGGACTACCCTGATCAAATGCTGAATTTTTAAAGGAAACATTACAGATGGACGGCATCTGGATTTTCACACCTGAACATATTTAAAACCAAATTTGAGGACAGAAAAGATTATTTCCAACTAATGGTGTGAGAAGTTATGACCTGACCACATAATTTAAGTTTAACAGTGGCAGAAGGCTTCAAGAAAAAAAAAAATCAAGCTTCCTGCACAATTAAAAGGATCAACAGAAATACAGGCAATGCATGTTGTGTGACACTGAGTTTTCTTAATAAATAAATATAGAAAATGAGCACCAGACTAAGTAGCAGCCAAGGAAGAAATGTACACCAAGTGTATGTTCAGTTGGTTTGCAGAATGTCTTCTCTTTTACAGACTTAATGTCTTTGCTAAAGATTTTGTAATGTTTAAAATATGGTACACGTGTTGAAGTCCAGTGATGATATGGCAGAAGTAACATTATTTAAAGGTGATTCAACATTTTCCTTCAGTTCACCTTAATAATATTTGGCCCTCAAATAGTCTTATTCAGCAACAGCTTATCCATAGCAACTCTTTCCTATTAAAATTGATTATGCTAAAGTTTTTCATTGATGGAGTAAGCAAGTGTAACTGCAGCAGCCTCAACCGAGTTGTGTTTAGAGGTCTGCAGATGTGTCTGGCATCTTGGCTATGGCCTAGTAAAGTGCTAGTCACAGATGTTACAGTGACATAACTCACACTATCTTCTAGTGATATGGTATGCTGACCTTCAGGAATAGTCAGGTCGAGGGTGGCTGAGGAATTTTGGAATACTGCTAGTCAATGAAGTGGATCAAATATTTGAAATAGGGTTATTTCCTGAAAGGAACAAGTATTCATAGAAATGTGAGTACGAATAACTATTTGTCACAGTTTGTTTGTTTACTCATCTTATTTTGCTGTTGATTCATACAATTAAAGCTATCATGTTTTACCAAACCCTCTCATACAGATGATTTTGAAAAAAGAATTGTAAGATTTTGTAGTTTATAAACTTTACAATATTGCTTGAGTGTTCAGAGTTCTGGTGGGACTTCCACAATAAATGAAACAGAGGCTATGTAAACTAATATCTTATTAAAATTATTTCTCAATAATATCTGACTTAAGAGTGGGACAGTTACTTTTCCAAAATGCTTTCTAAATTTTACTGCACCTGTGCATTACCTGCTGAGCTGATTTGGTTTTTTTTGCTGTATCTTCCTGTTTGGTTAAATACAAATACATGACTAGAGATACATAATTGGTTGCTAAAATGGATAAAATGCAGATAATCTGTTGCCTGTTAAGACAAGAAGATTGTATTACTAGTACATTGGACTGAAAGCCTACTACTAGAGTCCATTTCATACAGTCAATCATGAACGTTTTGTTACTATGTGAGTAACTTCCTTAACTTGCCTTGCACTAAAGAAAAGTCTGGAAATGGTCTTTGCTATTCCTGCTATACCTAGAAGGAAATAAGATAACATGAGAGTTTCCTGAAAGCAACTTTATTGTTTTACATATCTGGAAATATTTAACACTTTTTATAGGAACAAAGCTAGAGTTTATAACCTTCAGTGATGACCAGTAGGCTCTTCTTTGAATGGTGGGATTATTTCTCCTGTCTCTAGAATTTTGTCACCCTAATGAAATCAAAAAGCTTATGGTGAATATTTTGTCATGGGTCATACTACTGTCTAAAATATATAATATGCAAGTGCATAAAAGTACTATTCTTTTTATGAGAGACACAATATGGGTGAGGCAATATCTTTTAATTGAACCAACTTCTGTTGGCGAAACAAGCTTTCAAGGGAATATTATCCATTCTGAAGAAAATACTGATGCTTCTAAAGGTCTATATCACATTGTTTTCCTTAGTCAGCATTTAACATTTTTGTACCAAGTGCCCAAAGTACTGAATACAGTTATTTTAATTTTATTCCCTGTACCACTGCTGCCCTCACACTCAGACTCATAGACTTTAAGGTCAGAAGGGACCATTATGATCATCTGGTCTGACCCCCTGCATGCTGCAGGCCATAAAACCGTCCCTACCCCTTCCCTGGACTCTGCTGCTGAAGTCCCCAATCCTGTTATTAGTGACTTCAATCGGC